GCCTATCAATCTAACAGTATGGTGATCGAGAATCTCTTTATATTTCAGCTCTAACTCTTTCAGTCTTAAAGGTTTGGGGAGGAGAAATCCAAAAATTCTTTTAAAGAGGAAAAAAAATGCTTGCAGAACTGCATCCATGGAGACATGTATATATACACAACACACAGAGAAACAAACTTAACAAAGTGCTAAGTCTGCCCACCATCACTCTCTTTCTTTCTCTCTCACTCTCTCTCCCCCCCCTCTCACTCTCCCTCTCCTTCAATGAAGAGGCAGGAGAGACAAGTTCTCATGACAAATCTGAGCAGCCGCTGCTGGGAGCTCGTCCCATCCCTTCTCCCAACCCCCGCATCCCTTCTCAGCTACTTTCTGCCTTGTGGACCTAGAACTGATTGCTGTCTCCAGGCTGGTTCTCCTCTCCTATTATCGTGAGAACAACTTTTTCCGCATAGCTTTACAGCTATTTAAAATATATAGTAATTTAGGTCAGGTTTTCAGAACATTGTGGAAGGCGTCAGTGCATGGCAATTGGGAACTGCTACGTGGTGTTTTGTTGCTATGTGCGCCGCTGCGCAGCTTAGAGAGAACATTGCTGTAGTATACACATCTTCCCCCATCCCCAGAAGGATCCACTATGTAAAAATCCAGCCCAGCTTCACTGATTACAGGTTTGAAAAGTCAACGTGGCTCTGCCTACACTCAAACTACACTTGGGGAGGGAGAGCACAAGCGAGCCAGGGTCCTTCCCTCCAGCCTTTGCCCAAAGCCCCGCACAGCACCAGGAGGATGAAGTTTGAATTCCTAACCCTCCCTCCGACCCACACGTACCTTTTCCAGTTGCTTGAGAGGACTTCAACTCTGCTCTTGCCTCAGGTCCTCTGAAGAAGCCCCGCCCAAACGAGCGCCCTCTACTATGAGGCAGAAGAACTGCATGCCTCACCTAGTCTGAATTTTTAGGCATTTTATGATCGCCTAGCACAAGAAACATGTTCCACACAGCAATCATAAAACGCCTAAAAAGTCAGACTAAGTGAGGCACGCAGTTCTCCTGCCTCATAGTAGAGGGCGCTTTTTTTCCCAGTGGCTCATGGGCAACCTGGGCCATCTGCCATGCTGACTCCTCGCATCTCCATCCCATTGAACTTCTCTCTTAGCTGCTCAACTATCAGCTACCAAATATCTCCACTCCATCAACTCTTCCCACTCCACTGGTCTTTTGCTCTCCATTTTGATCCCCAGTTGAGCACCGCTCCAGCATTAAGTAGTTGGAACTCAGCTTCAGCCGCCTTTGGCACTGCACCCCACTAAAGCTTCTTGCCAGCCCTGTCGGGATTCCCCCAGCTGCTCCCCTCTCCTCCACTGGCTGCTTGGCTTTCTCTGCTTGGATCACCCGCACCTGGGTCCAGGAGTCTCCCTGGCCTGCTGTTGGGGTTTCTTTCATTGGGCTTGCTATTGCTTTGCTGACCTGTTCCCTCTAATCTCCATACTAGACATCTTTCCCTGGATCTTCACAGCCCCTCCTCGCCCCCCCCCCCCGAAGACACTGGCTAAGCTGTGGGAGACCAGAGGGGTTTTCTGATTCTCTTTTGAGAGAGCTGGTTCAATGTCAACGTCCTGACTGACGATCCCAACCAAAGCAAGCGTGCTCGAGAACTCCCAACGTCTCAGTGCAAAACTTTATTGAGTACATCATTTCGGCACTATTGAAGGCAAAACCAGCTCTACCCAATTCCCACGCAAACCCACATCGTTCAATACAACATTCTGCCCTCCCCCTTACAGTGCAAGTCATATCATCCAATTGTTTTTCTTATGAAAAAGTGTCTCTGGGGTCAGCTAACACTTGCAGATGTGTCCTTGGTCTCACGCCTCTCCTCCTCAAAGTTTGGAGTTCGTATTCCTTCTCACCCTTCCCTTCTTCCATACCTATTGGCCAGCAGAGAAGTGAAAATGGTTGCAATAGCATGTGCGCTTTGAGCTTGACAGTCAGCTCAAGGGAGTGATCAGGAGGAGATTAAATGCTGGGATGAGGCTTCATCCAGACCACCTTATAGAAATTAAATGCAAGACTAGATTATTAACAAAGGGCTTTGATATTTTAACTTTGCTGTTGATTGACTTATTAACAACTTTGCCTCTCTATGAGGTAAGAGATGAAGATCTAAGCGGTGGTAAATAGAGATAGAACTTCCTAAATTTCAAGGTGGCGCAGTGGTTAAATGCAGCACTGCAGGCTACTTCAGGCTGACTGCAGTTCAGCAGTT